TAGTCTTGCTTCCCAGTTTTGGGATCTGTATACCATTTCTAATGACATAATGTTACTGTTCTGAAGGTTTGGGATGGTTAAAATCTCAAACTTACTTTTAGGATATGCTTCGGTCAAAAGCTATTGAACTAGTGATATGATCTTGTTCATATAGCTTGTTCCATCTGACCTATGATGATGGGGGTTCCCTGGTCTGGACATTTGATTCCAAAGGGGTTCATTTCGTATCTCCTATGTTGTTGTGAATTTTAGGGGAGTGATCCTTGTTCATGTTTCTTTTGTTCGGAAAATTTCTACCCCCCCCCCCCAAGATTCACATATTTCTCTGGTTATTGGCTAATAATAAGTAGTTACAAGATATAATTTGAACAAATGGCACAATGTGCCCGACTTTTCCTGTGTGTTTTGTTCAGAGGATGAATCATATTGTCCCTTGTTCTTCAATTGTTTTGTTGTTCTTTAACCTTGGAGGGTAGTTGCTAATCTCACCGACTTTAGACATGATGCTAACTTTGAAAATATTGCTATCTAGTGGATTAGTAACAACAACCATAGAGTTGCGAGTGTTTCACATGCTGCTACTACGTTGGCTTTTTGGAAGATTCATAATGACATCATTTTCAATCATGTGCATTGGTCTGCCATGTAGGTAATTTGGGGTAGCGATGTTGCTTTATTTCTATTCTAGTGGATGGTTTTACTCCCTAGAAGCGCCAGAGAAGTCCTAACATGGGTGGCTACAAGGATGGATCATATAGCTCGAAGTCCTCCCTTATTGGTGTGGCCACATCCTGAGTGAACGCACAACACATGCGAGTCTTTCATGCTTGCTAAGCCCCGGTGATCTGCCCATTCTTAAAATGCCTTCTAGTGATTGATTCTGTTAGGAAGAAGTGGGCTTGTGACGTTGTCTACAGATGTAGCGACCATGTAGGTCTCCCTGGTGTGTTGGACCTATTGGTGGATGTCCCTTCACTAGTAGAAAACAGGGCTTTGGTCACAGCTCAATATACACATTAGTCTCGGTTGCATTACGAACCGGGACTAATGTGAGCATTAGTCCCGGTTTGAGCGGCTAAAGGCATTAGTCCCGGTTTGAGACACGAACCTTGACAAAAGGGCATCGCACCATTTAGTCCCGGT